TCTTTTCTGAAAATATACCCCTTTCAATGTGAACAAGGGGGGATGGGACTTAAATGAGTGAATGAATGTCATTACCTACTGCCATTGATGACATTAGTAGATTCAACTCATTCGTGACATAAAATCGTAATTTTATGAATGCATTGAGTCCTTCATCATATAATGTTATCTACATTGGTGCTGACGAGGCAATAAGGCAAGTATCTTACGCCGAAACATCGTACGTCCAACAGTGAGGAAGACACTGTTCCATTTATAATGCATTCATATATAGAATGTTAAGGATACCACTTAGCAATGAAGTCCGAAACAAAGAACGGAAAATCATATACCAAATAGCGAACGAGAGCAGATAAACCCAAAAGACGATAGTAGGAGATTTGAGCCGGTTCTAAGCCTCCCTCCACCACTATGGCGTCACGTGGGGTGGATGACCTAGACGGACTCATGTGACCTTGAGAAATATGTCTGTCTGGTGCATAGTTGGTATGTGTACATCACAGATTACGTGGCGATGTGACCTTGAAGGGTCTGGTGCATGGATCGTTCAGATTTTTTCTCATATGAGATTTTGTGTGTGTGTGTGGGTGTGAAATAGTGACGTAATTACATTTGATTGGTGTGTATGTGTGAGAATACACGGTACAGGGTTTCATCATGTGCTTGTCTATGTACAAACATACGTCTGCATACTTCGAAGATCCTTCAAGTAATGAATGTACAATAGGTGTGAGCCCACCAAGTTAGTAGTGGTGTGACGTCACAGCATCAACCGTTCAACGGTAAGAGAGCGAGATGTTCACTCCACGACGTGCGGCTGAGTAATGCGTATTCATCGGTGTGCCCTCACCTCTATCGATGCAGTGAAGGCTGTGACGTAACGCATCGCTCTAGCCTCGCTATCGATGGTGACACGCAGGTGGCCGAGGACTGTGCTAACGTCTGCCCTCTCCGAAAGCGCAACGACCACTGCCTGTTCGTATCGACATCCAGTTGGGAGGTGGGCTTGGCTGTGACGTCAGGCATCTCTAGTGGGTAGCGAAGTAGAGTGAACTGAAGAAAGTTAAATAACGTGCATTTGAATAGATAATATTGTAGAATCTCGTGAAGTATTAATCTGAAAATTATCAACTTGAGCTGTGCCAAGGTATAGTTAGGGCGAATTGGATAAATATAACAATTGACAAAAATTCTCCCTATTATAGCAAAATTTGATCTCACATTTTCGCTTTGAAACCTCATTGAACTATTGAGGCCCGCGTCGAACTGCAAAGTTAAAGGTTATAAAATAATTAGAGATAAGTAATGAGAAGAGTTCATTGCATGTATTCAAATGATTCAACATGAAACAAACCAATAAAGCACAAGTGATAAGAAATGAGAGTTTAGAGAGTGAAATCTTGGTGCTTGTAACTATCCAATGGAATTTAGGATCTTCATCTTGTGCAATGTTATATGCATGATGACGAATAAAAGGACAGTTATTATTCAGGTCTATTTTATGTACGGAAAACACTGAAGAGAGTGAAATTGAATTACAAAATACATATTCGGCCTGTATTTCTTGGTTCCGTATGACAAAAACTTGTCGATTTTAATATTGCACGTAGCTTTTGCATTCCGTTTCGACCTTCACAGCATATGACATCAGCGTAACTATAACTGAAAAGTAGGATGTGCCATCACTTTGATCGAAAATAAATTCATTCACCTGTCATTGCCAGATTTACCCGGCAAGTTTGGTTTGACTTTGAAATGAATGCAAGGTTATTATCCGCTCCAAAACAGATGCGTAGACTCAACACATAACATTTTACAGGAGAACAGACCGACATTTCTCACGAATATGCATGTCTAACATGAACTAGGTACCGCATACTTAATGATGATTCAAAATGCTACACTATATTTTTCTTGAAATATGATTACATTACAATTTGAACAAACATAGTGGATGATATGGACGTAACTTCAACTGAAACGTGGGTATCGCCTCACTTTGGTCTCTTTTTTTCCACACATTGGCAAAATCTGATGGTGAAGTTTGATTTAACCTTGAAACTGAATACAAGGATTTTCTCGAGGGTCGAGTTTTCATGTATGATGATGACACAACAATGTGACGTCCCCAGATCTGAATGAAATTGAAAATGAAACGAAACTAGTAATCAATGAATTCGAATATTGGTGTAGAAACAATCATTTCATGAATAATGGAAATAAAACAACATTTATCCAGTTTTCAAGTGAGTATCAGGGTCCTTTCCAAATGAATCTAGGTTTCGAAACTGAATTGTCTTTCAATAATTACATCGAATACTTGTGCACTTCCCTGAAAAACGTATTTTGCCTTCCTAATAATGAAATTAAATTTTTTGAGACATAATCTCTTGGATATATACTATGGTCTAGTGTATTCTAAGCTTAATATGAATATTACCATTTGGGGACATTCATCAGAAATAAATAGAATCTTAATAAGGCAAAAACGCTTCATTAGACTAATTTCTTGAATACAGAGAATCTTGTAAGAAAACATTCCAAGACAAAACATTATTCACATTCCCATGCATTTATCTTTACAAAATATTAAGCTACGTTCATGTACGATCCCATTTGCTAACAAGAAATGAGGAAATTCACTGTCATTAAACGAGACGGAGAAACGATTTCCATCAGGAAAAAATAAACCATAATGAAACAAATTTTCTCATATACAAGAAAAAAGTCAAAGACTTTTTGGTAACAAGTTGTTTTTACTTCCTGATAGAGTATGAAAATAATATTTTTGTGTAACATGTGCTGTTATTGATATGAGTGCTATAAGATAAAATATCTTTTGTAAAATGTGACGTGTCATATATCCATTCATATATCAAAAATGATGACTAAAATTTGACTTTGACTTCTCCGCCAATGTCATGCTGGACGGAGATGTGTAGACACTTGACATTTTACAGGAGAACAGAATGATATTTCTCACACATATACATGCCCTACATGAGTTTTTCGCTGGATACGTTAGTATCATATCTATCAGAATTTCCAAATCTCACATCACAGTTCTCCAACCGCTCGAATGATGAAGAGTAGATTTTGACAAAAAAGGGTGTTATGCCGTATGACTACATCGATTCTTTCAAAAAATTCAATGAAGATTGTTTACCCCCTATCGAAACCTTTCACAACATATTGGAGGAAAAACCGTGTCCTAGGATATAATACCTATGTGCCAAGTATGGGCTATTTTTGATATAAACACATCGGGTAAATATACGAAACTGTATTTAAAGACGGATGTTATGCTTCTGGCTATGTCTTCGAGCAGTTCCGCTCAAGTTGTCATAAAACTTATGGTTGGATCCAGCCCATCATTTCACTCTGCCTGGCTATACATGGAATGCTATGTTATTCAAAACGAAACAGCAACTTGAACTCCTCACCGATGTAGATCAGTTGATGTTTTTCGAAAAGGGAACAAGAGGTGGACTGAGTCAAGTTTGCTTCAAGCGAAGAGTCACAGCTAATAACAAATACATGGGTGGTGATATCTTATGATAAAGCCAAAGCTGACTCATACCTAATGTATTTCGATGTTAATAATCAATATGGTTGGGCAATGTCTCAATATCTATTTACCGTATTGCCCCGATCATGTGGATGATAAGACAAAAAAATTTCGAACCGAATTAAAGGCTACTCTACAGTCGAAGAAATAGTATGTGAATCATCACAGAAATCTCAAGCAGGCCTTAGAACATGGTCTCATTTTGAACAAGATTCATCGTGTTCTAAAGTTCAAGCAGTCCACATGGTTGAAGGACTACAAAGGCTTGAACACACGTTTGAGATCTGCCGCCTCGAATGATTTTGGAAAGAACCTTTTCAAACTAATGAATAATGCCGTATTTGATATGCACTGCTATTTTTAAAACTTAATTTTTGTTCCATATATTTGAATATTCGTTTCAGGGAAAACTATGGGAAATCTGAGAAAGCACTCTGATGTTAAAAGGGAAAACCATATGAGCAGGGCATAACATGAATATTTTATCTATCCAGAAGACTTCAGATATGCTTTCAACTTTTTCTTGAAATTATATATGGAGTAGTGTCTAAATTCACTGGGCAGAGCGTTATATTATTTGATAGAGTTGTAAATAAAACTACGAGAAAAGCAGGCAGGAATCGGTAAAAATTATACTGTTGTAAAGAGTTTTTGTGATTCTGATTCTCTAAGACTTCCTTCTACAGATAATTTCATCTTGGCATTTATGAGAAATGAACTTACTTGAAATGTAATATATTCTAATGATGTGAGTAGGAATTATACAGAAAAAAGTTTCGCTTCGCGTTTTCCGTACTTCAGATTGAGGTTATTTTGTACATAACCTAATTTTCCAATTTGGTGATTCCAAAATCTCTAATGGAATTAATGAATCTCCTGGGGAAGGATCCGAATCAGTAAAACTTATATTGTTGTAGAGAGTTTCTGTGATTTTAATTTCTTCAAACTTCCTTCTACTCAAGTATATATCTTAAAAAAATTGAACCACTCGTATATTTGTCCTTGAAAGGTTCTGGGTGGATTTGAGAACTTTCTGTGGAGTCCTCATTGAGTATGAGAGTTGAAAAGTTTGTCTGCGGATCATTTATTCATAGGAAAACTTGTTTCTGTTTACTCTATTTCTATTCCATAAAAAAGTTGCTTACACTGAAATATCTCTTATCAAAAAGATAATTTGAGATATTTTGTCTAGTTTAACATTTTATTCCATATTGATGAACATATTTTTAAATTTTGGCGAATAATTTAAATTTTTTTTCCTTGATTGGCTACTATTCATCAAATGAATAACTTGATTCATTCCTTATTCAAATGATCTTGGCTTCCCTGTGTAATTGGCGAGCACTTAATCTGTCTGATTATGAGTTATTGGTGTTCAGAAGAATAAGGATTGCATATAAAAAGGATTCAGATCTTCGAGATCATCAAACGCAGTTCGTTCGTTTGTGAAAGATATCGTTCAATATCGTTCAAAATGTACAAACCGGTGAGTGATTAGTTTAATTAATGATTGGAGAGTTTTTCCTTCAAAATTTGACGACTAGTTATTTCTTCGGAATTAAAAAAGTGTTATGCAGGAAGTGTTATTTTCTATTTCATTTGGTTGAGCTAAACTTAGTAATATTTCTCAGTTATCAAACGTAGTTTCCAGGTGCGATTTGTTTCAGAATTCGAATTTCAAGAAGAAAATACAAATGTTCCATTGGAATAAATCTTCCAAAGT